CGCTCTCTGCGCCTGGACCCTGGATGGTGGAGATTGATTGTGCAGAGCTCCAGAGAACACCGCTGGATTGCTAGACGCCTTCCCCAGACCCCCGCGACCTATCCATTCTTTCATTTGTAAGTCATCCACTAAATAAATCTTCCTTTTAACTACGTGGAGTGGCCTTTATAATATTCCCCAATAGATTATAGTTTACTGAATACAATACTCATTGAATAAATATATGCAGAGGAGAGAGAAGAAGTGTCTTCTTTTTAGTGGAAAGCAGTCTGCAACTGTGAAGGTTAGAAAGACCATCACTTCACAGACTGCTTCACATAAGAACCACCAGTGCACTGGATTCTAGAATGGACTGGAAATGTTATAAGGCGACTACCAGGGCAATTATGAAATCTGAGTATATACTATTAGGCTCCATAACTGTGTTCAAGGGTCAATTTCCTGAATCTGGTAACTGAAAGGGAACAGACTTAAGAATAAACTCTACACCTGTGTGGTGGCACACACTTTTAATCCCAGACTCAGGAGCAGATGCAGATGAATCTCAGTGATCCAGGTCAGCCAAAAGTTCTAGGCCACCCAGGGCTACACAGTGAGACCCTGAAGACTAAAACTGAATTTTTAAGCAGTAAGAAAACACGGCAAGTACTAACTGAAGTCTCAAATGGATTCACAATAATTTTAAGAGTATGGTTTTAGACATCCATGTGCTGGAAGATGGAGGAAAAGAGAAGGTGGGAATGATACAGCGATGTTGTAAAATGCCAAAACTTGATGAATTTTGGAAAAGAGTATATGGAAGGCGGTTGTACAATTCATGAACCATAATTTTGAAGTTATTCCAAAATTAAAAGTTCAAAGAAAGAAAGAAGAAACACGGGTACTGACATTCCTCAAAGGATATATCAAACTGAGGAGTTCTGAACACAGGGACCTAAGAATCTCAGGGTCTGAGGACAAAATTCACTGGACTTATAAGCATGAGGAGAATTAGATTTTTCTGTTATTTTTTTTAAATGGTTTACTTTAAATTATATGTATATGTTTGTGTCTGTGTGTGGAGATAAATTATATGTATATGTTTGTGTCTGTGTGTGGAGATGAGCATGTGACACCCACAGGGTCCAGGGAGGGCATCGATTAGATCCTTCGGAGCTGGAATTACAGGTGATTGTGAGCTGCCTGATAACGTTCAGCTGGAAACTCAACTTGAGTCCGCTATAAGAGCATTAAGTACACGTTCTAACTGCTGAACCATCTCTCCAGCCCCCAACAGATTCTAACTGCAATAATCGTTAATTGATGTTTGTCCTCAATTACAAAATGCAGGCAATGAGCAATAGTAGGTGTAGGAACATCTGTGACTTTATCACCAATAGGAATCACATTTTTATCAAAATAATGTACAAGCTATTTAGCATTTTCATAATATAGTACTTATACCCACTGCCAGGCTGTATCTAATCAATACATTATAAAAAGTATGTAACAAGACAGTGTTTGCTTTAATTAAGATACATTATTTATTTTGTTTATATGACTGTCTGTGTGTGTGTGTGTGTGTGTGTGTGTGTGTGTGTGTGTGTTGCACTAAAAATTTATACTGTCTTCCTCAGTTGCTTCCCACCTTATTTTTGAGACAGCTCAGAGTCTATAAAGAGCCTGCACAGGCCCTCATGTAGTGTAACATGCACCACCCCATCCCTCCACAAGTTTGCTTTTTAAAGACTTCAGTAACTGCTTCAAAATAACTGGTTCTTTATAGCCCTATGCATTTATTTATTTATAAATGTTAGTCTGAAAATCAGACCCTGAGCTTCAGAATACCCAAAGGTTCTACATTCAAAAAGGTTAATGACTTCTCTATGGGATAGATCCCTCATTGAGATAAAGTAAAATCTATCACTATTGCTTTGTTATAAAAATAAAAAAAAAAAAAACTTATAAAGCAGTGTGTATTATGGACTATGAATATTTGTTCTAATTTTAGTTTCAAATTTCTCGTAATTACTAGAGCAAATGTTACTGAACATAAAAACTCCAACCTCACACACCTGAAACATCCAGGAACAAATAGATCTCTCACACACGCAAAAACATGCAGGCCCAGAGTGGCTATGAAAATGAATCACAATGAAATGTTGTAGCTAAGTGCTTATACGCCTTAAAGAAAGGGGTTAGAAGTGCAGTAGTATTTACCATCTCTCTTTTGGAAAGTTTTTTAAAATTTCTTTTATGATTGGCTTATAGCAGGCATCCCTTTCTGTTTTCCCAGTTTCACTCCAGTCTCTTACAAACTGTTTCAATGTAGACTTTAACTTATCCATGTCAAATGTAGATGCTGGCATAATCTTTCCATTGCCCTGTTTAAAAGGAAGGGGGGAAAAAAAGAATTATTTTCTGAGCATCAATTTTGAATATGGTTAAATGCATCTACTAAGATATAGGTGAGTCAGTGGATAATTATTAGCCTCTCAAGGGACTGAAGTGCAGCTTGAGACCCTACATGAAAAAAGTTTGGTGCTCTCTTGGGACTGGAGAGATGGCTCAGAGGTTAAGAGCACTGACTGCTCTTACAGAGGTCCTGAGTTCAATTCCCAGCACCCACATGGTGGCTCACAACCATCTGTAATGAGATCTGGTGTTCTCTTCTGGCCTGCAGGCATCCATGTAAGCAGAACACCATACATAATAAACAAATAAATCTTTAAAAAAAAAAAAAAGTTTGGTGCTGTCACTTCTACCCTCGATAGCGGAAGATCCACTAATCATAAAACGACCACAAAGTGAAGCAGTTCTTCCTCGGGAAAGGACCAGCACTGAACTGCTTATGGAGACAGAACATTCCACCCTCCAAGAAAGGGAAGAAAACCCCTCCAGCTCATTCATGGGCAGCAGGGATGGCTCACACTGGATTGGCCAAATTGTATCTACCACGGGATACAAAGAGACTTCAGTTTCTATTACTGCCAGTCACATGAGATTTAAGTGAAAATATTTTTATTTTAAAGTGGAAGATGAATATCAACAAATAGAAGATACTGAAAAAGCAACAATGGAAATTAACTTAATATAGCTAGTAAAGTCTTAAGGAATTTAAGTCTCTTATATACTCTAACATGCAAAACACCATGTGAAAGCATCAACAATTATCTAGGTGCTTAAAAAAACAGTGACGAAATGCTATCTCTAGCATACTGTTCCTCTAGCTTCATCACATGAAAACATCCTCTCAGTAAAGTGGATGACCTGCAAGACCTGGACATACAGATGGTTACCCTAAAATGAAAAGAGACAGAACAAGGCTCACATACATCTTCTCCATATTCTTTATTTTCAAACATATGTATGCAATCATTCACAATGGTTAGCAGTATCTCCTGATTATGGTCAATGCATTTCCGGATCTTGTCCAAGTGGAGAGGAAACTGAGGAAGCAGTTTCTGCTGGTTATCTGGAAGTGATCGAAACTGTCTTTCTGTTCGGTTCACTCGTTCGTGCATACTGGTCCTAAATAAAACAGAAAAAGTGTTTTATTTTCATAGCCAAAAAGAATTCTCTCACCAGAGGCCAACCTCATTTTAAGACTGTCATCCTACATAACTATTCCCTAGTTATGCGGGACACTGCTCTTATTTACTATCCTTTGATTTTTGAAGGATATAAACTTATAAAGTTTCTGTTAAAAAAAAAAAAAGCCAGCCTAGTCTACAGAGCGAGATCCAGGACAGGCACCAAAACTACACAGAGAAACCCTGTCTCAAAAAGACAAACAAAAAAAAGTTTCTGTTTTCACTTCATGAGAAATACTTCTCAGAGCAATCAACAACAACAAAATGGTAAAAGCAGACATGTGCACTAAGAGGAAACATAAAGATTAATTTATAATTATTTTTAATAATTTCAATTTTCAAATTAAACATTTTGGGCAAAACTGGAGGATGGCTTAGATTCCTATATTATGGAGTAGTAACATGTTGCTGTAAAAGTACATTAAAATGGTCTGGGTATATAGTTCAGTAACAAAGTACTTGCCCAGCATGCTTGAATCCTAGGTTGAATCTAGGTCAAATCCCCAGAATCAAAATAGTAATAATATAGAGTAGAAAATATGTTTTGAATCTAAAAGCCAGTCAAGTTGAATTTTGAAAAATATAAAGCATACAATATGAAAGTATTAAGCAAATGAGTTTCAAATGTAATATTCACAATTTGCATTCCAAAGGTTTCCTAAGCTGAATGGTTACTTCAGAGATTGCTTATTCAGCAGAGTCTCATTTTTAGAAGCTAAATACATACTCACAGCTAAGTGTCATTTTACATCAACCAAACTGGCAAAAATCTAGAAATCCAACTAGATCAAATGTTGGTGAAATTGTGGAAAAACCAGAACATTTATACACTAATAGTGAATGCAGAATTGAGTACAACCACTTTACAAAATAACATCCTTTGTAAAGCTTAATGTTTTATCTGCCCTATGATCTAGAAATTATACTCCTACACATAGTCAAGAAACACAAGCCATCTTCACCACAAAGCTGTCAAATAACACATGTAAAACTCCACAAACCACAGAAAGCCCATTATCAGTGGTCAGGATGCAGAAATTATAGTTATACAGTGGAATGGCGGGAAATGAACAAAGTACAGCTACAACTATAATACAGACAAAAATCAAGAACATAAATATTTGTTGAAACAGCAAATTAAAGAACACATGCTATACAACTCCATTTTATATAACATTAAACAACACACTGTTTAGGAACCGAGCAAGCATGCAAGGAAATGAAGTTTCAGGAACACCCCCTCTAAGGAAAAGGAATGGGACAGAGAGAGAGAAAGTGGTGTGTGTGTGTGTGTGTGTGTGTGTGTGTGTGTGTGTGTGTGTGTGTGTGTGTGTGTGTATGCACATACTATAAAAATTATTTACAAATAAAACAAGTACTTCTGTAAAATAAAATGTAAATACTTTCTGTGAAGAGCAATGAAGCACAGAAGCAGCTCTGGCTGCACACACATGCCACAGTCAAGTTTCTAAAAGCATGTATGGCACTCGGGTAGGAGGCCCTGAGGATGATGTAAGAGGCCACCTGGGCAGTGGTTGCACTGACAATGGCTTTTTTTTTACACTGGGGACAGTATGACTGTCCTCAAGTCTGTTACTACTATGTGATCCTTTTACACCCAAAGTGTCTTGATGAAACAAGGTAAAAATAACGATCATGGAAGTATCATTTATTGAAATTTAGTAACTGCCCAACATGCACATAACATGGACTGGTTAGAATAAATCTCCACAAAACCCACAAGATAGGCATCATTTATAGTCCTCTGTTCATTCAATTAGCCTTCACTGGATATGAAAACTTAGTGAATATAATAAGCATTTGTTGTGATTTGAATATGAAGCTCTTTTCCTTAAAAAAGAGAAAACTATGTTCCTAATTAGTAGCACTTTCTGGGGGAGGTTCTAGAAACTCTAAGAGGTAGCTGGAGGTGACAGGTCACAGGGGCAAGGGGACACACACTTTTGGGCATCTTGTCCAGAGCCTTATTCTTTCTGCTTGCTGGCTGTCAGATCAGCTGCTCTGCTCAGTCATCTTTCCGCACAGCCAGGTGAAACCTGTGTATCTAAATACATTTGCCCTCCCTCAAGTTGGTTACACTGGGGTTTATCACAGTGACAAAGTCTGACTAATACAGCATACAAAACATAGCAGGCATACTTACTTTCTTCATATTAACAAATCCACAGTAGAAATATCACCCTCCCCTGCAAAACGTAGAAAAGTAAAACTGCTCAGGGGAAGAGAAATAGCAATCCCTCTTCTAGAAGGAACTATTTCTAACCTTTCACATATTACCCATCTTGTAGCTGTTTAAGACAAATTCATTCATGACTGAATTCACAAATTCTAGTTACATGCATTTATGGAATATAAAGTGATATTTACCCCTACATTTTCACCCCTCCACTCCCATCTGGTGGTTGACTACCATTCTGTTCTATCTGTGACTGTTTTGATTCCACACATAACATGAGGTATCTACCTTTCTCTGCCTGGCTTGCTTGC